AGATCCCTGGCTTCTCCACGTCCTCCCTAGCACTCATCCTCCACTTTCTCGGTAAGAGCTATCTCAGGGGCTGTGAAGTGCTGACATGCTGTGGTTTTGATTTGCGTTTCTCGGATGAGGTGACTCTGAGTGTCTTTCACGTGCCTATTGACCGTGCGTGTATCTTCTTTGGAGAAATGTCTGTTCAGGTCTTTTGCTCATTTTTAATTGTTTTCTTGTTGTTGGGTTGTAGGAAATTTTTTTTTTTTTTGGACAGTCTCCCTGTCACTCAGGCTGGAGTGCAGTGGTGCCATTCGGCTCACTGTAACTTCCGCCTCCCGGGTTCAAGCAATTCTCGTGCCTCAGCCTCCTGCGTAGCTGGGATGACAGGCATGTACCACCACGCCCAGCCAATTTTTTTGTACTTTTTTAGTAGAGACGGGGTTTCGCCATGTTGGCCAGGCTGGTCTCGAACTCCTGACCTCAGGTGACCCACCTGCCTCAGCCTCCCAAAGTGCTGGGATTACAGGTGTGAGCCACCGCGCCCGGCCAGAATTCGTCATACATTCTGAATACTAATCCTTCATCAGATGTAAGATTGGTAAATATTTTCTCCCATTCTGTGGGTTTTCACTTTCTTCATAGCGTCCTTTGATGCACAAGTTTTAAATTCTGATGCAGTTCAATTTATCTATTTTTTGTCTTTGATTGTCTGTGCATTTGATGTCACATCCAAGAAATCACTGCCAAATCCTGTGTCATGAAGCTTTTCCCTACGTTTTCTTCTAAGCTCTTTATGGCTTGGGCTCTTACTTTTGGATCTGTGGGCAGGGTGGTAGCCCCAAGCCTCCTCTGGTCCCCAGGCAAGAGCCCCCTCCCCAGGCACTTTTCTTCACTGTGCGGTGGCGTTCAGCCTCTGCCATGCTGACAGAAAGCAACAGAGGGCAGCGTCCCCAGCCAGCCCTGCAGCCTCTCCCAGGACCCAGGTCCCCCAGGGCCTGCCCATGGCAGCATCCACCGGCAACCCCTCAAGTGGGTAAACACAGGCTAGGTGAAGAGCAAGGTCTTCTTTCCCACCCCACAGAACCTCTCAGGACCTGCCTGCCCCCACAACCATCTGGATCCCCCCCTAAAACCCAGTACATGTATCCAGCTGGCCTCCCCTCTCAGGAGAGTGGACGAGACCTTGACAATCACACCGAATGCTTTGTTCTCCTGCATCAGACCACCTGCCTCACCAGCCACCATCCCTGCCCTCAGCTGGCCTCCTGTCCACGCCCGACAGGTGGGGATGAGATGGTGCCACTCCGCTGCTGTGTGCAGGACGGGGTGGCACTCCCATGCCCTCTGAAGAAAGTTCATGTGCAGGGCAGCTCGGCCGAGCGGGTGGGCGGTGGCCAGAATGTGGCGCCCTGTGTCCCAGCCTCACAGCCTCCAGGGCTGCCCGACCTGCCGTAATCATACTGGAATCTTTCCTACCTTCCGTCACTGTCTCAGCTCGTTCCGTGACTCTGCACCCCCCAGGGCCAGAGCTGAGTCCACACCTGGCAGAGCAGACTGTCTGAGAGGACAGCCAGTGACTGCTTGAGAGGAGTGGCTCCATGGCTCCCTGGGGCCGACCTGGGTCACAGCCTCTTTGGGTTCTGTCCGAGGCACATCCCCCACTGGTGCTAGACAGCAAAAGATACCTGTGGCCGGCTGTGGGTTCCCGGCAGCCAGTGTGTGTGTGCCTGCTTGCCATCTGTTCCTGTGTCCCCACGTGGGCCCAGCACAGCCAGGATCGGGGACTGTCCCCAAGGAGATAAGGCTGTAACCCCAGCGAGGTTTCCTGTTTCAAGGGAACAATGACAAAACCCGGCGATGATGTATCTACAGACAGGTGTTCCCCTGAGCCCAGGAGGGTTCTTCCTCAGCCTCCGAAAGCCAGGCAGGTCGGGGAGGACAAGGAGGACCGCATCCAGAATGGCCATGGGTACCGAGTACTTCCCCCAGTCCCGGGGAGGGAGGCATGAGGTCCAGAGAACAAGAGCCCAGCCCCCATCAGGCTGTGGGTCAGGATTGGGCAGGGCCCCCCGAGCCCCACCCTCCCTGAGAACCCACCCCACAGAGCGCCTGCACCCGGGGAGGACCCTCTATCCCATCCTCCACTGTCCCAGGACGTTCCCTGGGGGCCCAGCCAGCCTCCGGCCAAGGCCTGCCATGTGGGTTCTTCTAGTCCAGCCATGGCCCTGGTCTGGGAGCCCCATGATGGATGCCCAGCAGTGAGGCCTTGGGAGGCGTGCATGGGGCTGGGCCAGCCCTCGTGTCCTGGAAAGGTGTCCTGGGGGGAATCGGGACCATGGCCAGCAGGCGTGGGCTTTCCTGCACAGCCACAGAGGGGCAGGGTTAAGGGGGAGAAGCAGCGTCAAGGGGGACATTGGGCAGCAAAGAAACAAGGATGTGTCCGGTGGAGCAGCCAGGACCCCAAGGCTAAGAGGAGGTGGGCGGTGAGGAGGGCCTGCCTTGGGTCGGGGCCCCACCAAGAGGAGGGACCACCCTTCATGGCTCACCAGGACTCTCCCAGGAAATCCCTCTTCCCTGGGCAAACCCTCCAGTGCCTGAGGAAGAGGCGCGGGAGGTCATCTGGGAAAATCATGGACTTGGAGCTGCCGTGGGCAGGGGGAGGTTGAACTGCAGGCGGCCATGCCCACCCCCAGATGGCACAGAGGCCCCAGGTGATGCCCACCTGGACCCAGAAAATCCCATCCTCACCTTAGGTCTTGTCCGGGGCAACTCCACAGCCAGAAGGAACTTTCTAAAACGCAGGTGGGGCCGGGTGCAGTGGTTCACGCCTGTAATCCAGCACCTTGAGAGGCTAAGAGGGGAGGATTGCTTGAGGTCAGGAGTTCAAGACCAGCCTGGTCAACATGGTGAAACCCCGTCTCTACTAAAATACAAAAATTAGCCGGGTGTGGTGGCGCGTGCCAGTAATCTCAGCTACTCAGGAGGCTAAGGCAGGAGAATCACTTGAACCTGGGGGGCGGAGGTTGCAGTGAGTCGAAATCGTGCCACTGCACTCCAGTCTGGGTGACAGAGCAAGACTCCATCTCAAAAATAAATAAATAAATAAATAAATAAATAAATAAATAAATAAATAAATAATAAATATAAAATTAACCACAGGTGGGAGCCCCTGCCACCAGCCCTCCTGAGAGCTGTCACCTGTAGAGGCCACACGGGGTGCCTCCACCTGGCTGGGCCCAGTGCACATCACCTTTGGCCTGGATGTACGGCTTCAGGTCAGGGCATCCCTCCAACACCCCCATTCAGGCCACCGGCCTGCCCCTGAACATGGGTATCTGTGTCAGGACTGACACAGGACTTGCTTCTGGCGTGTGAGGTCTTATCTCCACCTGTCCAAGAGGCCCTCATGGGAAATCACACCAGCCTCCCAGCCTCCTCGCCACTCCCCACTGTCCACAAGTCCACTCAGATGCCCCTTCCCCACTCCACCCACCCTGCCCCCAGCAGGAACTCTCACCAGAGGCCAGGGCCACACCCTCTAAGCCCCGACCCACCTCAGGGGAGTTCAGCAGAGCCCCAGCAGGAAATGCTGCCCCTCCCACCTCAGGCTGAAGCATCGAGGGCAGGGCTTTCCATGGCCACAGGGCCTCCCAGGACTCTGAGGGTGGGCGACAGGCAGTCTTGAGTGCCTGGAGGATCTGGAGGCTGCTCAGGGAGGGGCCCAGCCCATGGAGTGCGTGTCCTGGGTCTGGACCTGGAGCTAGAGGTCATGCTTGGGCCAGAAGCATGAGGCTCAGATGGACTGACCAGGCCCCTGGCCCCCCAGGGACTGTCCAGTGAAGCCCAGCCCGGATGCCCATGGGGCTGTGTTTGGTCAGAGAGCCTGTCCTGTCCCTGCAGGGCCACCCTGGAGGTTGTCCTCAGGAGTGGGGGTGAACAGAGCACAGGCGTTTCTCTGGGAGGGCTCCTTTAGAGTACAAGTGCCTCTGCTTCTTGAATTTCGCCTCTGAGGAGGTAGCCTGGGCCCTCCGCCCTCTCTCGGCAGAGGTGGGCCCTGCAGCAGGAGTGGCTGCCCTCGCGTGAAAGGCTGCCCTGTTCAGGGTCCGCTGTCCACTTCTGTGGCTGTCCCTTCCCCAGAGGGACCCCTGCCAGCATTAGCTCAAGGAGGTCCCAGCTCAGAATGAGGAGCCCCAGAGGGAGTGGAATGGGGCAGAAACGCTGGCATGGCTGCCCGCCAGGCACCTGACTTCATCTGAGACCCCGGGAGGCCCAGGCTCAGAGCCACAGAGCTCTGTGTCTGCAGGGACAGCCGGCCTGGAGGTGGCAGACATGGCCCTGCTTCCCCTCATTGCCTCACCTATGGGAAGCTGCCCTGCCCTGGCATCCCGACAGCTCCTGGCAGCCTCCGGGGTGAGAAGTTGTGGGTAAGCTCTGCAGACCCTCTACCACGCATGCTGACTGGGGTCTGCTCTCCTCCGGACAGGGCGGCTGGCGGTCCTTTCCGGTTCCAGAGGGTGGGAAATGGTGCAGCTTCCTGGGACAAGGGTGGGTCCACGGGCAGATGACTCTGAAGGGCTCTAGTGGGAGTCAGACCACAGGTGCAAGGCCAGGAAGATGAGCTCCTTTGCCCCTCAGGCAGGCAGTGTCCCTCCCCAGGCCTCAGTCCACCACCTGTGACAACCACTACATTCTTTGACAAATGTTTTTAAAAAGCCATAGTTCTTGAGTCCAGATCAAGGGACACCAGTGATCCACGTGCTGCCTCTGCCTGCTGTGTGTCCAGCAAGCACACGGCTCCCCCTGGAGCGAATGCGGGGGGGGGGGTGTCTGGGGGAAAAGGCCAGCCCCTCCCAGGTGCCGTTGCTCAGGTAGACAGTTTCACCCAGGGCGTCTCCAGGTCGCCAGGGAAATCTGCTTCCAGCCAACAGCGTTCCTTTCTCCCCATAGCAACAGGGTCCTGCACTCCCGTTTCCAGGGAAACCCAGCTCTCAGCGTCCCAATTGCCACAGCAACACCTACGGGCTCAGCTGGCCATACTCTCTCACCCACAGGGCGAGGGCAGCTGGGTGCCCAGGCTTGGGTCGCAGGACTGCAGAGCCAGGTGCCACACAGGTGTGGGGCCCGTGCACCAAGGAAGACCCTGGCCAGCTGGAGGAGACTTGCCGGGGAGCAGAGCTCGGCCTCTGGGGTCCTGCGTTCTGGGCTGCAATGAGCTCTGCCTCCAGCGAGCCCGGCAATGGGGATGCCTCCCAAAAGCCCCTACTGGGGCTGGACGTCGTGATCCAGGTCAGTGGGGCGGTCGCTTCCCTTCTCCCTCCTGAGAGCAGGTTGGACATGGCACAGAGAGGGGGTGGCCAGGCGGGACCTTCCTGGTTCCCAGGGCACTTTCCACTTGCTCACGTGTTCGCCTTGAGCGTGCAGGCAGTCACAGATGCAAGCAGGCACACCTGTACACACACACTGGCAGCCTTCAGCCCGGAGAGAAAGCCTGGGGAGAGAGAGCTCTGGGCCGCTGCTGGCTATGGACGTTCAGGTGGCCAGCGTCCCTGGCAGCCACAGGCTTGCAGGCTGCACACCGGTGTGGGGACAGGCAGACAGCCCTCGGCACTGACATTCCGGGACCTCTTTCACTGCCCTCCCGTGGCAACGTGTGGGGGCCCGCGGGGCCTCCCTGGGGCAGTGTTCCCATTGCTGTACATTTGTGGGAGGCTGTGGCTTAGCCCTAGTGTCTATTCTGTGGCTTCCAGATGTTCTGGTTCTGTCTTCATAGCACCTGGTGTGTGCAAACAGTGGCTGGGCATTGTCCCGTGTCCCTCTCCCCTCGCCTCCCTACTTCCCAGAGCCCACCTAGAGCCCAGACTGCGGTCCCACCTCAGACATCCCTCCTCCCTGAACTGCCATCACCTGCTGCTGGCCCCTGCAGCCAGGCCCCACCTCCAACGGACCCCTCGGGATCCCAGGGAACCCCTGACGAACCGGCTTACTCGCGGTTGCTTGTTAACCCAGCTCTTAGCATCTCAAAACTACGCCACGGCAGGCTGACACGGCCCTATCCAAACAGTACAGGTCACCTGAAAGGAGAGATGGCCACAGCTGGTGCAGGTGACTGAGTGACAGGGTAGACCCAGGGTTTGCTCACACACAGGGCCGCACGAGGACTCAGGGCAGGATATTTGAATCAGGTGAGGCAATGAGACAAACAGATGCCATGGGGTGACCTCTCACCTCCACTTCCTCCACCTGGGGTGACCTCTGACCTCTACCTCCTCTACCTGGGGGTGACCTCTGACCTCTGCCTCCTCCACCTGGGGGTGACCTCTACCTCCTCCACCTGGGGTGACCTCTGACCTCCACCTCCTCCACCTGGGGGTGACCTCTACCTCCTCCACCTGGGGGTGACCTCTCACCTCCACCTCCTCCACCTGGGGTGACCTCTGACCTCCACCTCCTCCACCTGGGGGTGACCTCTGCCTCCTCCACCTGGAGTTCAGCCAGCTCTGCCTGGGTGTCGGCTCCATGAGTTCTGAGAGCAGAGCTGGTGAATGCAGGCTGGAGAGCTAGCATACTACATTTACAGGACACTCGCCGCCCTGTGAGGACTCTCATCCCCTCAGATGTCAGGAAAGCCGAGCCTAAGTGTTGGAGGGAGCTGCTGTGGTTAGCGGCTGGTCTGAGGCCGGTGCTGACACCAGGCAGGGGCATGAGCGCTGTGCAAATGTGGCTGAGGGATGCTTTGCCTGACCCCAAATTCCCACTGTCCCCGGGAAACTCATCTGGAGGCTACACAGGCCCCAGTGAGGTCAGCTCTGCCCGCCCTCCCAACACCTGTTATTTTCGCTGTAGTGATTGAGATCTTGATGCCATTACCCCAGAGTGAGCAGGCAGCAGGCGGGCGCCAGATGCCCAGATCAGCTGTCCAGATGGGCGGCAGAACCGTAGGGATCCTCCACCCTCTAGCTACAGCCTGGAAGAACACGGGGCCTGGAGAAGGCTGTGACTTGAGGATGCAGGAGTCTGCCCTGTGACTAGGGGTGGTGGCTATGGACAGACGGTGAACATGCTCCCAGGCCGGGAGGAGCCCCTCTGACATCTGGCCCCAGCTGCTCTCCCCTCCTCTGGAAGCCCCCCAGCAACCTCTGCACAGCACCCCAGAATGCCCCCCACCCCAGAATGCCCCCCGCCCCAGAGCTGGAACTGGACTTAACGGGGCAGGCTTGGAAACTCTCAGCCTCTGTCTCTGGGGTGAGCAAGTCGGACATGTGGAGTGCAAAGCCCCCAGAAATCACACATGAATTGGGGGGTATCTGTGACTGTTTCGAGGGGTGGGGAGTGTGCCCTTCCTCGGAATCTCCTGCATCCAGACCCACAGCTGATGGAGAAGCACGGTGCACAGATTCCCGGACGAGGAGCCCGGCACAGGAAGCCCAGTTCCCTCAGAGCTGGGGGCTCCTCAGACTCCGTGTCTCTGGGCTTAAGTTTTGATTCATGCTACTTTTCTAGGAAATTGTCCATTACATCTAAATTTTCAAGTTTATTGGCAAAAGTTGTTCACAATATCTTCTCCTGTCTTTCGGATGTCTGCAGGATCTGTGGGGTAACCAGCTGACCCTCTTTGCTGGGGGGTCTTGAGACAGGGCTTTCCCAGGACTCCAGACAGCCTTGGGTCCGGAACCCACGTCCTGGGCACAGCGGGGAGGAAGTGGCTGTCCTGAAGTGGCATCTCCTTTCTCGTTTCTGATGCTAGCCACGTGCTGATCCTCCTCAGCATTCTTAGCTTGTGTTTCACTAACCTACATATCCATTCTTCCTTTGCTTTCAGTTTATCTGGGTTTGTTCTTCATCTAACTTCTGGAAATATGTGCTTGACTCATTGATTGTTCAGCCTTTTTAAAAATTTCTTTTTTCTGGCCGGGCGCAGTGGTTCACACCTGTAATCCCAGCACTTTGGGAGGCCAAGGCGGGCGGATTGCTTGAGGTGAGGAGTTTGAGACCAGCCTGGCCAACATGGTGAAACTCCATCTCTACTGAAAATAGCCGGGCGTGGAGGCGGGCACCTGTAATCCCAGACACTCAAGAGGCTGAGGCGGGAGAATCGCTTAAACCCAGGAGGTGGAGGTGGCAGTGAGCCGAGATTGTGCCACTGTACTCCAGCCTGGGAGACAGAGCGAGACTCTGTCTCAAAAAAATAAAATAAAATAAAATTTTTTTAAAATAAAAATAAATTTTTTTCTTTAAATTGTGGGAAAGTATACATAACATGAAACTGACCATTTTAACCATTTTTAGGAACAATTCTGCAGCACTAAGCACATCCGCAGTGTTGAGCAACCGTCACCACCATCCATGTTCAGAACTTTTTTTGAGACAGAGTCTTGTGTTTATCGCCCAGGCTGGAGTGCAATGGTGCGATCTCGGCTCGCTGCAACCTCCGCCCTCCCATCTTCAAGCAATTCTCATGCCCTTAGCCTCTCCAGTAGCTTGGACTACAGGCACACACCACCATGCCCAGTTATTTTTTGCATTTTCAGTGGAGACAAGGTTTCACCATGGTAGCCAGGAGGGTCTCGAACTCCTGACCTCAAGCAATGTTCCCGCCTCGACTTCCCGAAGTGCTGGGATTACAGGTGTAAGCCACCACACGCAGCCCCAGAATTTTCATCTTCCCAAACTGAGGCTCTGTCCCCGTTCAACATTCACGCCCCATTCCCCACTCTCTCGGCCCCCGCCATCCTACTCTCTGGCTCTATGAACTTGGTGACTCTGGGAGCCTCGTCTAAGTGGATCAGATGGTATTTGTCCCTTCGTGGCTGGTTTATTTCACTGAGCATGACACCCTCGAGGTCCACCCATGTTGTAGCAGGTGCCAGCATTTCCTTCCTTTTAAAGGCTGAGTAATGTTCTGCTCATGAAGGGACCACACTGTGTTTATTCGTTCATCTCTGAATGGATGCCTGGATGGCTTCCGCCCTTTGGCCGTTGTGAAAATGCTTCCTGTGAACCTCGGGGTACAAATATGTCTTCGAGCCTCCACTTTTAATTCTTTCGGGCAGATGCCCAGAAGTGGATGGCTGGATCGCACAGAGAGTCTACATTTAATTTTGTGGGGACCCATCGCGCCGTCTTCCACAGTAACCACACCGTCTTACCTTCCTGCTTCTTTTCCTCTCTCATGTACGCACTTCCCTCCAAGCAAGGTTTATCTGTCCAAACTGTTGTTACTCACACCACTTTTCACACCAAATGTGTGGGTTTCTCCTGACACCAGCCAATTCTCCAGCTCTCTGGACACCAGCTAGCCGTCCTACAGTTCAATCCAGTTCGGACCCTAACCATCGAGAGCTGGCACAGACCCACAGTTTAAGGACTCGGTCCCATAAAGCTGCCCCACCTCAGATGCCAATCACAAGTCCTAGGCCTCCCGTATTCTGTCTGACCGGCTATGAATTAGGGGTTCTTACAACTCCCTGCTCAACTTGATAATTTGCTGGAACAGCTCACCTCTGGAAGTGACATTTGATTACCAGTTAATTATAAAGGACACAACTCAGGACCAGCCAGAGGGAGAGGTGCCCAGGTCAAGGTATAGGGGGCAGGGACGGAGCCTCCAGGCCCCTGGGTACACCAACCACCCACAGCACTGCCTTGTATTCAGCAACCCAGCCTGCCCAGCCCTGTGGTTTGGGGTTTTTATGGAACCTTCATTAAGTAGGCAAAATTCATTTAATCATTGGCCGTTGGTTCATTTGGCCATTGGTTCATGATTAAATGGTTCATTCATTTAATCATTGGCTCCAGAGACAGCTCCTCTCCCCTCCCCAGATGTCGGGGTGTGGGGCCGAAAGCACCAATGCTCTAATCGTGCCCTGGTCTTTCTGGTAACCAGCCCCTGCTTTGTGGCTATCCAGGGCCCTGGCCATCAGCCATGTCCCCGGCCAACAAAAGACATGCTTATCACTCAGGAGACCCCAAGGGCCAAGTCTAGAGTCCCCACCACAGGGTAGGAGCGGTGGATGGTTTCCAAGTGGCCAGACCACAGTGCCCATCACCGAGCCCCACACCGTCACAAGCAAGCCAGAGGCAGACGCTCAGCCCATCTCCAAATCTCCCAGGACACATCCAGGTCTTGTCAGGCATAGCCAGGGCCGCTGTGCTAATGACACGGGTCCATCCTCCCGCTCAGGAACCCCTACCAGCCCCGTGGTCCAAGGATCGCGTCCCACAATCCTCTACACAACATTCGAGGCCCTCGCAGTCTGGCTCCAGGTTCCTCCCCACCCCATTCACCC